ATTAAGCTATAGGACCTTAATAAAAGTATTGAAATTGTGGAACTTTATCATACAATATTAGAACAGGACTTTTAGCTTATATTTATAAGCTTATATGATGATCAAACGCACTTACCACGAACTCACATCTTCTTCATCGTATCGGCTCTGCAGTTTTCGTTCGAATTCTTTTTGAATATCTTGCTGTTTGTCGTATTCATCAAGCCATTCCTGGTTAGCAATTGGCTCATCTGCATATGGCATGAAAGTGTCGCTATAATCAACTTCGGTGAGATCCTTGTTTGTTGATGTCGAAGCGTCTTGTTCACCTTCCACTTCCAACACRTATCCAGGCAAAAAATTAAACTCGGAATCATCAGAATCATAACTACATGAAGAATCGGTTTCGGAGTTTGACATTTTGCAGCTAAGCTTGATAAAAAAAAGTTTTTTTATCGAAAAATATAGAGACCGCGTAGAGAAGTTTTAGTAGACAATACAGTGAAGAGTACAGACRCGCGAATGTGTGATACCGGATCGACGTCACAAGACTTATTAGTGCCCAGTCCTCTTTTTGCTCGTTTTTGAGTTTGAAGACCGTGATTTTAGATGGGAATTTTAATCAAGAAAAAATTCAAAAGTGGATTTTTCCAAYGAAAACTTTTTACTTGATAGGTAAATTTTAATAAAAAATGGAATTTGGCCAGGGTTGATAGGCACTTTAAATAAGAAATATTATCGTAATTAGCTACATTAGTCCTCTGGGAAATTAAGTTTTTCTTCAAAAATAATTATGCAATGTGGTTTTTGCTGTTCCTGACCAACACAAATCACAGATAATTTCTTTAAGTGGTACATTATATGCATACTCATGTAAATTTTTGATCTTAATAATATTTCAATTTCTTAAATCATGCTTGAAGAAGATGTATTTTCTTATAGCAATATAAGTAGAAAGAATGCAATTATGTACTATTTTAGACAGCAACAACATTGTGTAATTTATCTATTATTCTTGATTCTGAATTTTTTTCAATTAAAGTTATTCTCGATCAAGACCTCT